GCTTTACAATGAGCAGCATTAGAACTTACAGAACAAAGCAGCCACTGTGACCTGGTGTGATTAAATAAATGTTTAAATTGTGTGTGAGTGTAGGCAGGGCCCTGAAGGGACTTCACATATTACATTTTACACGTCTGACTGTTGTGTCTGCTGTCTGATGCAGGAATGGTTCACTGTGCTGGAGCACTATCACAGGTTGAGTGCCACCATCTCAGACCTTGTCATGGGCAACTCGTATTCCTTTAGAGTGTTTGCTGAAAACAAAGTGGGCGTGAGCGAGAAGAGCACTGTCACAAAGGAAGTGGCCACCATCCAGAAGACAGGTGACCCCCTGAATGCACGCAGTACTTTAATTTGTCTCACATCAGTTTGTTTCTGTTGCATAAAGTTTTCGTGGCACGGCTGCAGTATGAATGGATGCTTAGATTTTATTGAGCTGTGGTTAGTTGCAAGAATCTGAAGTGGAGACTTGAGGAGTGGGAATGACTTTGGCACTGCTTTAACATTAGTGGATAGCTCTCTTGGCAAGTGCTCTGCTATTACTGAAATAAATTTAAATAGGCTGTGAAATCGTTAAGATGATTACCATAGTTGTGTTACAGTGTGTTTTATTCTTTAAGCAAATGTGTGTAGTGGTTCCACTTCTAAACATAATGCAGTAAAAAAGAGGATCTGCACTATATCTGCTCATAAAAGCTTAACGCTGCTTCCTTTACAGGTATTGTCTACAAACCTCCCGAGTACCCGGAGCACGACTTCAACGAGGCTCCAAAGTTCACCACGGCCCTCAACGACAGAGCCGCCACCGTGGGATACACCACCAAGCTGCTGTGCTCTGTTCGTGGGAGTCCTAAGGTTAGACGTGCATTATGAATCTGAATATTTGCTCAGTATTTTATGATAGTTTGTCTTCTTAAAACATTTGTAATTAGACGCCTTAGACTTTAGGGAACTATTATGACAGTGGTTTCATATTAGAGCTCACGTTTTTAACAACAAAAACACCAACATCTTATATAAACAACAGTGTCTATACAACAATTTACTGATACTACATCTTATCAGGTGGTATGATGGTGGTATCCTAATAGACTGGATATTTAGAGCTCATGCTCACACTAAAGGTACAAACCAAGGAGGACACA